CCGCCTCCCGGTACCATCCATCATGCCATGCGCTGGTGCCCTCATCATGTTCTGTTCTGCCTCCTGAGTCCTAAACCGCCAGGCGGCATGGTGCCTGGGAGCCTCGGTGACGAATGCTCAGTGAGGTGTGCCTGTGTCCTGTCTGAGCCCCTCTGTAATTTGTTTATCTGTCCAAAGATTATGCAGCTGAAAACCCACGATTTTATGCTGCCTTTGTAAATTACCATGCAGCGTTTGATGGATGTTCCCCCACTTCCTAGGAGTCGGCCACATGCTCCTGAAAGATGGGCAAGTGCTCATGCATGCGGTGCTGAAGGTTATGTTTTCATACTTTCTGGCAGGCGATCGTGCCGGAGAGTAAATCTGACCTTAAGCTTCCTACTGCATTAAAGATAAGTCAGTTTTAACTTTATCGTTGTAGATGCTTCAGCTGTAGGTAGAAAACTCCAGCCTGGTCAGAGTTGACTGACTGATGAGCATTGACAAAACCTCTGCCTTCCAGCCCAAAGCCAAGGGTCTGCCAGGAAGTACAGGGAGTAGTCCATTAATATGCGAACGTGGCCTGCGCTAGGTTAATAAAGCAGGCTTTCAGAAGCAAGTGTAAATAGGGAAAATGGGAAACAGATGAGCTACTCAGATACTCAGATAAGGACACACCCTTAGGAAGGAAGCTCCGAGTGGCACTGTTGCAGGGCTATGGACTGTGTGCCTGCCAGTGGACAGGCAGAGGAGACCTGGGGTGTCCCAACCCCTAGGCTGACCAGCCACCCCTCTCCTCTAGAGGCAGGGTTCCTCTCAGCAGAAGAGCCAGCCACATAGCCAGCCAGCCTAGCCCTCCCCCACCCCGCCCTGCCAAAGCCTTCTTGCAACAGCCCCTCCCCTCTTAGCCCAAGGATACCCAAAAGCCCCTGCCTGTCCCCTCCTGGAAGGACCGCACATTGCCTCAGCCTTCTTACACCCCCTCTCTCTGTTTGCTTCCAGTCAGAGAGCGAGGAGAAAGTTGCCACATACGACCACATCGGGCCTAATGTCTGCATGGGAGACCACAAGGTGATGTGTGCAGTGTGCCACTGAGGTTCATGGGCTGAACCCCTGTGGGTGGGTAGTGTGTGGGTATCATATCATTTCCTTTTGTCTGACTTTACCAAGCAAGCAACCTGAGTTAATTTCATTTTAATAAAATACCAAAGGATGCGTGGATGAGTAAGCAGAAGACATGATCAATCATAACAGAAGATAATCTCACTGTGTGGGAAACATCATGTCAGCTGGTTATGAGTGAAGGCTGCTTCTTGAGTATACTTTGGGGCTGTGTTCCTGGCCTTCCTATGCTGGGCTCATTCCTGTCAGAGTGAGGTTACAGACCAGGTGTGTCTCACAGACCAGGTGTGTGTGCATTGACCATCTGCACAGATTTCCCATGCATGGCTGCCCTGAACCCAGAGTGGCCCACCACCCCAGTGGCATGAGGCCAGGTGACAAATCTCAGCCAAATTAGACAAGTCCACATCCTCCATATCTAAGGGCTCTGAGGGAGGGACACTGCATACCCTGGTCACCGGTGCATACATCCCTCTGCATTTGGAACTTACTCCACAGTCCCTTACACTGATTCCTCTCTGGAACCCAAAGAGTTTGTGTGGGTCCTTTCATGGCCCAGCTCTTAGCTCCCAGGTCCAGGCTATCTCAATCCCTGCTTCATACACACGGACTGCCTTCATCTCCTCTAGACTGAGTTCCAGAAGCTCAGGAGACATGAGGGCCCAGAGTCTGGGAACTGTGGGCGGCAAGCTGTGCATGCTGACTTCCCCCTTTTCTCCCACTGCAGCCGGTGTTCCTGGCCTTCCGAATCGCACCTGGGGCAGGTAAACCTCACGCCCATGTGCACAAGTGTTGTGTCGTGCAGTGACGTGGTGGTAAATATGGCTCCTCCTTGCTCTCTTTTCTGCAGCTTTCCTGGTGTGTTTGATCCTTTAACAAATTACTAATTCCACTCCAGGGAAGAGGTGCCAGCGCCATGAGAGGATCCTCGAGAGACCTCCCTGTAGCAGTGTATCGAACTCATCCTCCTAACAGCTGCATCGGAACCCGCCCAAGCATCACCTGCTAGACGGCCGGCCCCACACTTCGCTTCAGCCTCCGGACCTCCGGAAAGCCTCACATACCTCACTGTCGTGTCTGTCACGTGACATTGTAGACATATTGGGTTTAATCAAGCCACAGTCCTATTGCCAAAACTCTAACAGACAGCCGAGCGCCTGTATTTTAGACTTCACAGTTTTCCATTTTTAATGATTGTCTGTGGAGGAAGCTTCTCCATTTAGAGCCCCAGGTGTCCAGCGTCCCTCTCTGCCAGGAGGAGTGTGCCGGGCATTAGCCCAGGCAGCAAGGCTGCCGTGTGTGCTCAAGCCCGAGGCCCCGAGGTCTGACTCTACTGCCATGTTCCATGGCGTCTGAATCACACTGCAGCTGCTTTCCATTTTTATATATATAAATACATATAAATATATACTTTTTAAAAATAATTTATAAATCTTACCAAAACTTATGCTGAATATACTTTCCAGTATGAGTGCACGAGTGTCCTAAGCAGGCAGAACCGCAGTCTAGTTGAATGGCGAGTCCATCCGCAGTCAGCAGGTTCCTGAGACAGGGCCTAGCGAGTGCCCAGGGGAGAGGGTTCCTGCGGCATGCCTGCACTAGCAGCTTGTCACTCTCCTGCCTTTTTCTGTGTAATACTGAGAACTGAATGTGAAGTTTATAGCTAGCCTGGGTGTACCTTTTAAGAATTTTGTAAACCGTTTTGTCTGTCTTTTGTTACCGTTTTATGGTGCCAAGTATCCTACATTAAAACCATAATCTCGTGGGAGAATTAGAAGTAGCCTCGTCCACTTCCCACAGATTGCTTCTAGCATGGGCTGTGTGTAAACGTGGCAGAGAAGCGATGGGTGATGCTGGGCACAGCCTGTTGCCCTTACTCGCACCCAGCACTGAGTACCACGGAAGGCGCCTGCGGAGCCTGCTGAGGAAACACAGCGTGCTTTTATTGATTTACTTCTGAACACTACAGTTCCTGGATGGGGCGGAGGCGCGAGTTAATGTCGGTTTCCCTAGAAATCACCGAAAGCCGGCCTGTGTCCTTGATGCCAGGGTCGGGTCTGTGACTGCCATGGTCGCTGCTTGCCAATGTGCCATGTCCGCAGCGGTTGTCTGTGGGTTCCAGCTGTGGGTCCTTCCTCTGAAGGCCTCTGGAAGTGACTGCTCGGTTCCTAAGCAATAAAATTGATCATGGTGAAATAGTTCCTGTGCCCTGTCTCTTGCTTCACTCTCCTGTGGCTTTGACATGCTAAGTGCCAGAGCGGTCTCCTTTGTGTCCTGTTTGCTCTGGCCCATTCTCATTCTGGGAATCTCAGTGTCCCCTTCTGCCACAGGGCACCAAGCCCTCAGAAAAATCACCTCAGACTTTTTACTGTAGTGTAAAAAGCCTGGTCCCTCACTAATTCAAATGGAATTATACAAATGCTTTTCTTTTGCTTTGAACAAAACCTGCAACAAAATTTCTCTGCTCTGAACTTTGGTCGAGAAACAACACAGAAACAACACACTGCCCCACTTAAGAAAACAAAATCTTTGGGTTCCTTTAAAAGAAAGCCAGTGGATCGAAAGAAGCATTTGACTTTAGTTGATGGAGCCACAGCACAAAAGGCAAAACAAAACATTAGCTTCTCGTGATTCTAATAAATATCTTTTAAATGCAGTGCAATAGAAATCTTATCGTGAATAGCTCGTGTTGACATTACACATTTGACGATCCGTGCATTAAAAGGTGCAGCTGTGCAGGGCGGAGAAAACCAAAGCTGAACGTGGGGTATCCATCCCCCCCCCCCCCACCGTACAGAGAGAGAATTGTAGCCCTGAAAGGGTCTACCGAGGAGGGAAGCCAGGCTCTTCCCTGGCTGGGCACGGCTGCTTTACATACTAGCTCAGGTAGGAGTGACCCTCGCTGAGGGCCCTCAGAAACCAGTGGCGGGTGTCAGGGCAGCTAAAACAGGCTGAAGGCTTTGAGCTGCATGGGCGGGCAGGCGGGCAAGGATTCTCACCATCTCTGCAGCCCTGCTTAAAGCCATGCTTTCTCCCAGTTAGTCTCTGTTAAGACTGATAGCCTGGGGCCCAGCGGAGCGCAGAGCCTCAGGCCTTATTACCCGCAGCTGGACTTCAGTAAGTACTTAAATTTAAAATATTTAGAATTCTGGCTAAATGGGATAATCATTATGAAATCCTTGTGATAGAACGCAGCCCATGCTTTGAAGCAGAGCTGATTTTGGCCCGAACCAGGACAAGGGCACTGAAAAACAGGCACATTCATTGCCCCAGCTTGCACAAAAAGAAAAAAAAATTTAAAGAGTAGCGCGAGGGCGCCAGCTGCTTGCAATGCGGGCAAGCCTTGCTGGACTTTGGGGCCCCCTTCAAGTATGGTTGAATGTCTGCCCCAACTTCATCCATTTGAGTCAGCATTGAACATCTCTGGTAGGGGTGCAGCGGATGCCATACTTCTGGCCACAGGAAATAGAAATCATACCTGCTTTGGGGTCTCTTCCACCGAGTTCCCTGCTGGTCCGGCTCGTTCAAGCACTGAGCTGCCGTGTCCTTCCCTTCCCGGAGCAACGAAAACTGCCTTTGCTTGGCCTGGGCTCCAGACGCTCAAGTCTCACCAGGTCCATTCTCCTGTAAACTGCCATCACTGTGCGCTCTGGGACCATCACCATGCGCTCAGCCTCTGAACCCAAGGCGCACACGGGCCCCGGGTCGTCATCAAGCACTGTCGTGCCCTGGCCCTGCACCAGGCCCTGGCGCCCACATGGGGAACAGGTGGGGTCGGAGAATCCTGCCGCCTGCCCGCCCGCTGGCGCCAGCTCCGTAAGGAAGAAACACGATGTGCAGCCTTGGGAGCCACAACTCCGACGGGGACGTGTTAAATAATTTATTGATTATACAAATTGACCAGCCCAAACCCCGCACTCCGGACCTCACGCCGAGGCCGCGCCAATGTCCGCTTTATAACTTATTCTGTAAAAATATATATACACACTGCGGCTGGGCGGCTGGCGTCGGGGCATGCCGCGCGCCCCCGTTCCCGGGTTCTCTGGCCTGGCCGCATCCTCACAAGGCGTCCCCCGCGCTGCCACCGCACGGGCTAACCAGCGCCAAGTTCGAGGGTTTGTGCTTTTTGAGTAGCCGCGTGATCTTCTCGTCGTCGGAGTTGGGGTCCAGGGGCCGGTTGTACTCGTCATCGTCCTCCGCGTCTGAGCCACCCACCTTTAGCTTCTCGGCATCCGAGTCCTGCTTCTTTTTAGCCGACGCCATCTCTGCCGCGTGTCGCTTGCGCCACTTGGTCCGCCGATTCTGGAACCACACCTGGGGGGTTGGGGAGGGACCATGAGGCGGGCACCGAGGCTCGCCAAATCAACCAGCACTCCGGACCCGCCTGGCACCAGCGCTTTCCGCGGCCAGGCCGCAGAAGAACGGCCGCTCTCCCGCCGTTCGCAGGACGCGGGCTCCTGGCCCCGCCACAACACTGCGGGACCCCGGCCCATTCGAGCTCACCTTCACCTGGCTCTCGGTCATTCCCAGAGAGTAGGCAAGCCGCGCGCGCTCTGGGCCTGCCAGGTACTTGGTCTGCTCGAAAGTCTTCTCCAGCGCGAAGATCTGCTGGCCCGAGAACGTCGGCCGCGAGTGTTTCTTCTTGCCATCCTTGTCCAGGACCCCTCCGGCTTGGGCTACGAAGAAGAGCGGATGAGCGCCGTCCACGGCCCGCGCCCAGCCCCGCTCCTCACCGCAACCCGCGCGGGTCACTTACCCGAGCCGGTTAGGCGCGGGTCCCTCCAGGGAGAGCCCTGCACCACTCCGGGCCAGAAGATGGGCGGGCGCCCAGGCAGCTCCGCCAGCGGCTTGGGGTAGCCCCGTGCCACGGCTGCCGCGGGCCCGAAGTAGACACCTGCTGACGAGGCGAGCCCGTTGAGGCGGGGCAGACCTCCCAGAAGGCCGCCACCCGTTGCACCCACCGGCCGCCCCAAGATGTCGCTGATGCCGTGAGGAGTGCCTAGAGGCAACTGCGCACCAAGGCTGCTTAGCGTGGGCGCCTTGAAGCCCGCCGGACCCTGCAGCGCGTAGGGGAACAGCGACGTCTTCATCTCAGCCATGTTGTGCAGCGCAGCCAGAGGCGCGCTGCTCAGCACGAACGCGCCCGGGCGGTTAGCTTCCATGGGCGCCGCCGCCGCCGACCCGGGCTCCCATCCGGGCCCCGCTGCCACCGCCCGCGCCCTCCGACTCGGGAAGTTTGAGCGCAGCGCCGACGGGCGCCGGCTGCACTGGGACGCGTGGAACGCGTTCAGACGGACGCCGACGGCCCCCGCGGGAAAGCAGGAGGACCGACGGCTGCAACGCGGAATGGACAGCGGACAAAAAGAAGGCAGGGATACTAGGACCGGCAGCAGCTGCTGCTCCGGGGCAGGTCGGAGCAGCGAAGCACAGGACCGACGCACTGATAACCGCGGGGCCTGGGCGCGGCGCGCGCGCTGATTGGCTGTAGGCACTGGAGAACTAGCCATTGGCCAACGTTCCGCCCGTCTGCGCGCGCCCCCGCCGGCCGTGCACTCCATGAAGGGCCCATTAGCGCGGCAGGTGCCTCCGGGGCTGTAAATTTGCCCCCTGATTTATCTCCCCAGAGATGAAATAAATCCCGTTGGATGGGAGTTTAGTTAGGCAAAGATTTTAATGAGAAAATCAGGAAAAAATACGAGAACATATTTTATCAACCGAAAGAATGTAGATTTCAAGATCCACTCCGCAAGCTCAGTACGCCCAGCTCAGGGAAAAGCCTGGGAGGGCTGGATGCCACAGGTCTACGGGGCTCCATCCTGGACCAGAGCCCAAGCCCCATACTGCAATTCCTTAGCCTCCCCAACTTGTGGTGGTGCCAATTGGAGTGAACTTGTGGGTATCACTTTCCTGAACGCAAAGGGTGGAATCTAGTGACCAGATAGTTATATTTGGCTCTCTCAGATCTACCAAAATTTGCCAACTGACATTGGCTCCAGGTAATGTCCTGGCAAGGCCGGTGGCCCTGGTACTATGCACGTGCCTGTTGGTGTATACATTGCCCCCAGCCCCGCGGGTCCGAACTCCTTGTAGTTGGATGGGGAATCGGCCTTTCCTTCGAGGTTTTCTGATTATTAGGCATTCACCTGGGAGGTTACTTGAGCCAGACCTTGAGATTCAGGGCCAGGATTCGCCTGCCCGTGGATTTCCAACGAGTTGATCAGGCGGCGAGGCCCGGGATGCAGGCAGCGACCTCGGAATTCAAGATCCAAGACGAAAAAAATCACCACACTCAATGACTTAAGATGCATATGCGCTTGCAGTCTAGAGGGCAGAGCACGGATTATAGACTGGCCTGTGGGATTCACTTGGCTCTAAATCGTTTTCTAGTAGAGCGGCCTCTCACCCCCATAGAATTGCTGGGGTGAATGAAATTGTAGCGGGCTAGAGCAGAGCCAGGCAGGCTATGAGAAGGATACACACTGACACTTTCTTTCGTCCTCTTGGGTGGCACTTCCGGTTAACCGTGTAATAACTACTAGTGATTGTGATACAACCTGTGGAAACAGAACCACAAATCCTGCCCTGGGATCTAGAGGCCCAGTGACTTTGTGGGGCAGATTGTTAATAACGACTTCCCCTTTTTGTCCTGGTCTCCAGGGTTTCTTTGTCATGGAAGAAAATGATCCCAGTGGCTCCACGCAGGGGCCTAACGTCCATTCCCGTTGCTCCTCTTACAAGTTCGTTTTCGTTTTCTTACAGTTTGTGCCAGGGTCTTGACGCCACGGGTCTCTAACAGGTCAAGGCTTAAAAAGTCATTCTATGATGGGAACTGGAAATAAGCTCTGTGGTGGCCCCTGACTCCTGCACAACCTGGCAACTGAAAGATTTGGCTCGTAGCCCCTAGCGCCTAGAGGTTTCAGTGTAGTGGATTCCTAGGCTGAATCTGCACTCTCGGGATCAGATTGAGCGCTAGCGATCAGCGGGAGCTGAGTTGCCTCCAGCGCACCGGCGCAGAGCACACCGCCCTCTGGACCCCTGGGCTGCTGATGGTACCCAGCCTTTAGACCGGCCCCTTGCCTCACTTTTGTTCCACTTTGGTTAGAATCTCCGTGCCCTCCGAGGTTCGGAAGGACAGTCTGTGGTAGAGTGCGGACTTTGCTGGGCTCGCGGGAGACCACGAGGGAATCCAGAGGCTCCAGGTCTTGCGAAGAGGGACCCAGAGCTGGGAGCAGCGTGGGGATGGGGCGGGAGAATGCAGGGCAGGCCGAGTGGGAGGTGTTGAAACCTCCTACCCTACTTCAAGCAGACTCTGAACATAGAAGCGAGAGCTAGGAAGACAGCAGGTCCTCGGAAAAAGTATTCGGAAAGGCGCACCGAGACAGGGCTGGTGTGCGCTGACCTTTCGCATTCTGGCGGAGCCCCCGGTTGTGAGGCAGGAGGAGCGCTGCAGTTCCACTCCGATTTTTTCACAGGCAAGTCCTAGCCTCGTTAAACCTAGGAATCGAGAAATTCAGCGGCCCTGGATCTGTGTACACCTCCTGGCCCGCTCCATTGGGTCTGACACCCGCGTTCTGTCTGGATACACATTGCGTTGCTCTCCCTGGGATCAAAGACTCGGAGTGCGGTGAGGCCAGTGTTCCCGATGAATGAAGCTGGAGCACTGGAGTACGGGATGAGGAGCGGAGTGAGTTGTTTTGCTCTCTGTAGGCGCTGTCTTACCTAGCTCGTGGGGGCGCTTCCTACCCCTGAAAGGACTGGGCACAAAATTCATCTTCCCCCAGCACAGCCTGTCAGAATAGAGGGACTAAACTCCCTCTTCCCCAGAGTTCCCACTCCCGGAGCTCCTCCTGCACCCCCAGACTCTGCCCTCTGGGTTGGGCCAAAGACGATGCCCCTCCCCTCCCAACTCCGGTTCCCGCTCTCTCCTCTCGGTCAGAAGGCGCAAAAGCCTTCAGCCTGCCCAGGGAGATGCGATCCCTGGGGGCTCCTTCCCTGTGGCTATGGAGAGGCTCGCCATCTCCTGGTCTTGAAGAAAATGTCTAAGTTGTCTTTCTGAGCAAACTTAGCTCGGATTGCAAGATTATTTGTTCGCCGTTCGATACTTCACTTAGTCTACGTTTATTTGTCGTGCACCTGCCTGTGCTTAGTGGCCCTGTCCTGGGTGAGTGCCCTGAAGGTAGCTAATTAAGGCTTCCAACTCCCCCCCCCCCCCCCGCTACGGGAAAGGTGAATGGAACTTAATTCCGGAGTGTTGCGGGCACGGAGAATAGGTGACCCACCTAGGGTGGAAGGGAGTCTCCCGGAAACCACCTTTTCAGAGGGTTCGTGGAAGGGAACAGCTTGTCACAGTGACCTTGCAAGCATGAGAGGCGCCCAGACACGTGGACACTATGCTTTAAGGAAGCCAGACTATGCTTTAAGTGAGATCCTAGCCTTGAAAGATAGACTAAGGGCAGTTGCTTGTCGCCCTGCCTTGGGCTCGCCCATTCTGGGCGGGAGTTTTGGCAGCCCTTCGGTAGCTTTGTTCTTTGCACGGGTGTGAACACTTCCCAAAATGTCTGTGAGTGACCCAGAAAGCAGGGTTCTAGCCTCAGGGCTGGGGTACTTTCACCCGTGCGGGGAGGTGGGGGTGGAAGGGGAGTGGGGTGCAAAACGATGGTTGAATCACTACAGCTGTTGACCTCCCTGACCACACTCACGGGCTCAGGATAAAAGGGAAGAGGTGGGGTGCAAAGGTCCCGAAGGATTGCCTAAGCTAAAGCCCGCCCTTCACTATTTTTGGGACATTTGAAGAGGCCCACTAGGATGCTCTGGAGTTGCTTAAAGTCAACAAAAGAGAAAATGGGCGCTCCTTTCTCCAGCGCCCTCTGGTGCCCTAACCCTGCCCGGGCAGCAGAGGACTAAGGGTGTTATAGACCCTAGGCTCAGCCAGGAGCTCTGGGAGAAGGGCATTGGCCCATGGAGGGAGGAGGTCCTGGTCCTGAGGCAGAGGCCTCTTCATCTCCCGTCTGCTCAATTGATGCTACCTGCCTGACTCCTTTTCCAGTAGAGGCCAGTTAGAACAGGCTGGAGCCCACGCTGCCTGCTCCAGGTCCCTTGTGGATGAAGGGCCCCGTGTTCTGTGTACTTGGGGACTGAAAAGAAAAAAAGAAAAAAAAAGATTAAATAAAAAAACATATGCCAGAACAGTGGGTTCCAAAGTGTCCGAGAGGCTAGGTGGTAGTCCATCTTTTTAATTTCAGCAAACATGAGGCAGAGGTAGGTGGATTTTCATGAGTTCAAGGCTAGCCAGGGCAGGGAGCTACAAAGAAGACGCTGCCTCAGGACAAAAACAAAACAGCACGTGGAAGTTTCATTTGAGACCACGCCAACACCTGGTGAGAGGGAAGTGAGGAAGAAGATGGGGAGCAGGGCATCAGTGCTCCCCAACAAGAGGTAGTGCTCCCCAACAAGAGGCAGTGCTCCCCAACAAGAGGTAGTGCTCCCTAACAAGTGGCAGTGCTCCCTAACAAGTGGCAGTGCTCCCCAACAAGAGGCCCAAGTATACAGCTGGGCCAGGGAGGGAAGCTCTGAGTTGGGCCGCTATTTGTTTGAATAGCACACGTGGCTCTGGGACTCAAGAACCAGAGGAAGCTAAAGGAGAGCTAGAAAGAGGGCCCAAGGCAGGATGGAAGTCTGTCCTCTGCCTCTTGACGGGAAACCACCTGAGCAGCAGGAAGGGCTGGAGGGGTCCAGGTGTCAGTGAAGGGTGAGCCCCCTGAGGTTGATTAGGAATGTTGGAGTCCCTTGTTCTTTCCCCAGACCTTTGGGCTTTGCTGAGCCTGGCCAGATATCTTCTTCCCTGTGAGCCCCACCGCGGACTCCACCGCACCTCCTCACTCCAGTTCTCCCCTTTACACTCCGTTTGCTTTTATATGTGCGGCATCTTCCAGGGAAAAGTAACGAACTGAAGGTTGTGCCACCCAGTTTCTTTCATGGTTCGGCGGAACTGGCTACCTTCTCCAGGGAAAACGCTGCCAGCAGCATCCAGGAGCCTGTTCTGCAGCGCAGTCTTCCCGCCACATGAATGCGGGAGGAGTTGATCTCTATCACAAACCTATTTTCCTATAGCTCTCTGGGTATTAGGGTCAATCCAGGCTGTCAGGAGCAGCATCTCCAGCAGGAGGGGTGAGGAGGGACTGGGAAGTTCTTTCCCATGTTTTCACTGAGGTCCTGGGAGAAGAAACTGCCCTTACTCTCTGAGGGCGGTGAAGAGCCTCTGAGAGCTGGCATAACCAGTGCAGGGCAGGAGAGTCTATGTCTTCCTACTTTCCCAGAGATTCAGATTCCCAGACTGACAGATCCATGCTTGCCCGTGCATAGGGGTGACCTCAAAGAAGGGCAACTGCGCCAGGGAGTTACTTTGCC